GGGGGGGGGGGGGGAAAGATGAAACATTCCTTACTGCTACGTGTTTCAATAGTATCATGTTAATAGTATCTTCTCGCAACTCTCTTTCGAAAGGTGATAATGTGTATATACGTATGCATCAATTTTTAAATAATATACCATTATAACGCGATGTGCGATGAAATATCGTATCACTTTACAGAACGTTATTCCATTCGTGACACTACCTTTCGTAAATCCGAAAAGATTGAACAAAATACCTCAATTGATTCGCGACGATATTTTCACTCTTTTACTTTGATCTGAAATATTTTTTTGAAATGGTTTGAAAAGTATGGAAAATAGTGTTTATACGCGAGTATTACAAGACTACAAACGCTCCACGAATGTAACAACAAAATAAACTAAAAACAATAGAGCATCTTTAAACGACAGCTTCTTAAAAGGGTAAAGTATTTTCCCTTTGTATACTAGCCTGAGCTTAGAAACTTTATCGAGCAACGTGCAAAAGTATCTCAAAAAATCCAAATAATAAAACAATATTATAATCAATGGGCAATTTCTAAGAGTATGTTTTACTGACATATTCGTCATTAACTTTACGACTCTTGCATACATCGATCATTTTTGTCAAGTATCATATTGAATTTTGCGCTGAAATCATTTTTGCCTGTACTTACTTTTTAGTAAAGATACAGCATCACATAACATTATCTGACGTATCTTTTCAACATTCGTTTATACAGCATATTTTATCTCAACTTTCGGATTTCAGTGTGGTTCTTGCACTACTTTCTTATTCTTTTCACCAAAAATTGCAGCGCGTTACCCTGCGCACTCTGTCTTAACTCTAAGACGCGAGAGAGACTTTATTATTGAACATTATTTTATGCTCAGCTCTCTCTCTCCCCTCTCTCCTCCCTCTCTTGTCTTATTGTCTATGTACGATCCGTAACAAACGCATCCGTTATTTAATACATACAATTTTTTCATACAATTATACATACAATTTTTTCAAATACCGTTTATGCGGCAAAATTTTTCGCTTTGCGAAAAATTGTCTCAAAAAAGATAGCGATTTCAATTACGTTGCGAAACCACACCAAAATCCGCAAAAGATAAAAAGACTATGCGCGTACGTATGCATATATATATATATATATATATATATATATATATATATATATATATATATATATA